GCGGGAGGTCGAGGGCGGGGCAGGAAAAGAGAGCGACATTCCCAACTTCAAAGGCTCCGATCTCGGCCGGTTTCCACTCGTTTCGGCTGGTTTTTGGACGAGCGATCATCTCTCGGAACGGTCTCGAAGCGTGGATGCTTTTTTCCGGAACGCGCGCGCGCGGAACACTCACGTTGAAGCGACGTTGAATCACTCTTTTCCTGCCCAGGTCGAGGGCGGGCCGCGGTGGTCCGACCGCGCGCTGCTCCTGTACGGCCCGCCGGGCTGCGGCAAGACGTCGCTCGTCGAGTGCCTCGCGGCGGAGTGGGGCCGCGGCGACCTCGTGACGGTCCACGGCGCCGAGCTCTACTCCCGGTTCTCCGTGTCCAAGTTCGGCGAGGCCAGGCGCCACTACGACCGCGCGCGGCAACTCGCGCCCGCGGTGCTCCACGTCAAGGGCCTGGACCTCGCCCTCGGCGACGTCCTCGCGCACCTCGGCGGCGCCGACCGCGACGACCGGGTCCTCGTCGTCGTCACGAACAGCGCGCCCCACGCGCTTCCCGCGGCGCCGCGGGGGCCGCGGCGGCGGCGGACGACGCGCGTCGCCGACGGCCTCGCGGCCTTCGACCAGATGCTCCACGTGGCGCCGCCGACGCAGGCCGACCGCGCGCGGGCCATCGCGCGCGGCGTCGCGGACCCGGCGGACGACCTGGACTTTTTGGATCTCGCGGCGCAGATGGACGGGTTCTCCTACCGCGCCGTCGCGGAGGCGTGCGCCGCGGCGACGCGGAGCGCGCGGCGCCGGTCGCCGAAGCGCGGCCGGCGCGTGCTGGGCGACGACTTCGACGACGTGCTCGACGCCGTGCCCATGCTCGCGGCCGTCGCGTCCGCGGGCCTCGGGTCCGGAGCGCCGGACGCCGCGCGGCGCCAGGCCGCGGAGGGCCTCGTCTGCGACTGGGTCGACGGCGGCCTCGCCTGGCGCGCGACGACGCCCGCCGCCGAGCGCGTCCTCGCGCGCTACGCCGCGACGATCACC